CACATGGGTACATTGTGTGAAGCCCATTTGTGGTGTCCGTTGCTGGAATATTGCCAAAAGCGGCGTAAAACCAAACTCAGTCAGTCAGTCAGTCAGTCATTATCTCTTGACCACCTGGAACATGATGCTGCCAAAGATGATGATGATGATGATGCAATGTGGGAAGCCCATTTCTGTGTCCCCCCACCGTGACATTGCTGGCATATTGCAAAAGGGGAGCAAACGCCAGACTCACTCACTCACTCATTCACAGCCCACCCATTCACTCACTCACTCACTCACAGATGACTTGAAAGCACGAGGTTGTCTGTCCTGAACTGCACTTCCGCATACACACACACATATATATATCACATGAGGCAACGCTGTGATCTATAAATAGATCACCCCAACGCTCCGCGGCACACCGTGTGGGTAATATTATATAAGCGAGGGCGTATGACTGACATGCTCACGTGACAAACTGATGTCACGAGCGTTGTCCCAACACATCATCTACCACCCTGTTACCGCACGGTAGCGCAGGTAGTATACCCGGTTGTATCTTGGGAAGACCATCTGTGTTAGCTTTTGGATAGTTTTTTGGATATAATCAGAGACAACCTCAGCAGGTAAGATTCTATATACAGAGGTTGATTGTCATCGCCTATATACACAGGACAGCTTGCTGTAGAGTTCAAGCACCATGAAGGTTTTCTCTTAAACGTAACGACCGTGCATATCATATATCTTGTGCCGAAAATGGAGACAATGTATTCCTTTTATATTCGCTTAAGCGAACATGCCGGAAACTGATACTTGAAATGAAAGGAATGTTTTTGTTATTAGAATAATGAAACTAGCGCGGTGTCAGGACTAGCTTAGTGTTAAGACAAGCAAGGGGTCCAGACTAGCGACGTGACATTACTAGCGAGGTGTCAAGACTAGCGAGTGAGGTGTCAAGACTAGCGAGGTGTCAATACTAGCGTAGTGTTAAGACTAGGGAGGTGTCAAGACTTGGGAGGTGTCAAGACAAGCAAGATGTCATTACTAGCGTAGTGTTAAGTCTAGGGAGGTGTCAAGACTAGCAAGGTGTCAATACTAAGACTAGGGAGGTATCAAGACTAACGTGATGTCAAGATTAGAGTAGTGTTAAGACCAGGGAAGTGTCAAGACTAGCGAGGTGTTATACTGACAATTTTACAATGACTATTTACTCGATTGAATGTAAACTCCTGTATCTAAAGGGTAAAGTGAATTCTTCATGTTGGAGAAAACTGGGTGGGATGACAGTTTTGCCATACTCAGGAATGCAATGGCTATCTATCCTGGCGTTACGGCCGCTATCAGAGAGGCAGTCGGTTGACCTAGGTCCGTCATGAAGGTGTGTTGTCGTCCTGTGATTACACTCACTGCATTGTTGAACTGGCCTTGGCTTACATACAGAGATAAATGGGTGTTGTCACATGTACTGGTCTCCAGCAACCCATAATTGTAGAGGCGACAAACGGGAGCGGGGGACTGTCACTAGTTGTCCTGGGGGACTGTCCCATAATTGCAGAAGCGACTTGTCACTAGAGTAGCAGGTGTCTAGGCTAGCCGTCCTGCAGTATACTGAACTGTCACTTGTAGTAGCGGGGTGTCTAGGCTAGCCGTCCTGCAGTATACTGAACTGTCACTTGTAGTAGCGGGGTGTCTAGGCTAGCCGTCCTGCAGTATACTGAACTGTCACTTGTAGTAGCGGGGTGTCTAGGCTAGCCGTCCTGCAGTATACTGAGCTGTCACTTGTAGTAGCGGGGTGTCTAGGCTAGCCGTCCTGCAGTATACTGAGCTGTCACTTGTAGTAGCGGGGTGTCTAGGCTAGCCGTCCTGCAGTATACTGAGCTGTCACTTGTAGTAGCGGGGTGTCTAGGCTAGTCCGCAGTCTGAGCTGTCACTTGTATAGCGGGGTGTCTAGCTAGTCGTCCTGCAGTATACTGAGCTGTCACTTGTAGTAGCGGGGTGTCTAGGCTAGCCGTCCTGCAGTATACTGAGCTGTCACTTGTAGTAGCGGGGTGTCTAGGCTAGCCGTCCCGTCCTGCACTTGTAGTATACTGAGCTGTCACTTGTAGTAGCGGGGTGTCTAGGCTAGTCGTCCGAGCTGTCACTTGTAGCGGGGTGTCTAGGCTAGTCGTCCTGCAGTATACTGAGCTGTCACTTGTAGTAGCGGGGTGTCTAGGCTAGCCGTCCTGCAGTATACTGAGCTGTCACTTGTAGTAGCGGGGTGTCTAGGCTAGTCGTCCTGCAGTATACTGAGCTGTCACTTGTAGTAGCGGGGTGTCTAGTAGCCTCCTGCAGTATACTGAGCTTGGCTAGTCGTCCTGCAGTATACTGAGCTGTCACTTTTTTTGAACAACCGGGGCCAGGGTGTCTTGGCTGGTCGTGTTGCAGTATACCTAACAATGCTGTACTAGCGGGGTGTCCATGCTTGTCCTGTAGCAGTATATTGAACTTTTATACTCGCCCGTGGAAGATACCGCAGTGTAATATTTTACAGCAATATTACACTAGTGTAATACCGCTAGGCGTTTGACGTCATAATTGTTTACAATGCTACTACTACTACTACTACTACTCACAATGGTATTAGGCCTTGCTTGACTCAAGGAAAGCTGAGAGTCATCACCACACTGTAGGCAGTTTCTATCAATTAATGTTGGAGGGTAATAACAAAATACTAAACTCGCTTCTGTGAAACACCTTTTTTATTAAACTCGTGAAGGATTTAGTATCAAACTCGCTTTCACTCGTTTGATACCAAATCATTAAGTCGTTTATTAAAAATGGTACTACACGGTAGGTCGTTTAGTATCCTCTATACCCTATGCTAACACAGCGTCAGGGCTAGTCGTGACACAAAATACTCTCCCGTCATTCACAGGAATAGTTTTGATCTGTTTTAATTGTGTTAGAGTCAGGACTAGCGGGTGTCATACCTGATTTACTGATGATGTCACACATATCAGAAATATATTCCATTTTACTCCGGAATTCCTAACCTAAGTAAATATTTAAACATTCCAATAGAAGCTTGCTTGATTTACAGAATCAGTACCCAATCTTACCCTCACAAGAAACAGATCATATACCTATCCCGTACCTAAAGTCTACATGTAAGTGCCTCTATACTTGACGTATCGCCACATACCTGTCATACCAACGCCTGGTCACACTGTGAGCGTACAGTGTGGATGGGGATACTTGGGTACTCAGGCATGTCTGCTGGGATGCCCCACTGTTAGCAAATGGGCCCGTCTAAACCTCGACAATGACGACTGCTGAGCTGTCGTGTTCAAAGGTTGTCTATTGTGAGATATATAGGTTGAAATTTGTAAAAGAATCTGAAGATGCAGAACGACCGACGTGGGTGGAGACGTGGCGTCACGTTACCTTAATTTGCAAAGCGTTCAAGGACATATCAGGGTTGTGTTTGTTATGCTATGAGTGAGTGAATGAATGAGTGGGTGGATGGGTGGGTGAGTGTGTGAGTGAGTGAGTGAGTGGGTAGGTGGGTGAGTGAGTGAGTGAGTGAGTGTGAGAGTGAGAGTGAGAGTGAGAGTGAGAGTGAGTGAGTTGGTGGGTGGGTGCTTGAGTGAGTGAGTGTGAGAGAGTGAGTGACTGAGTTGGTGGGTGGGTGCTTGAGTGAGTGAGTGAGTGAGCGAGCGAGCGGGTGAGTGTGTGATCGTGAGTGAGTGACCACCCAACACGTTTTTAAAAGTGACTGCAGTCGATACAGTATTGAGTTCGTTCTCCTTGTGAGGATTTTTGCAACGGGGTTCGAATCCCACACTCTCATGAAGAGGTACATTTGAAATGCGTCAGCACGTTGGTTTCATGTTTCACGTGAGAATGTATGTCAGTGTAATCTACATTCATGCACTGACCGAGTGTGTACTGTGACATCGTTTGAGACGCGCCGTGGCTATGCTCGATCACGTACACATGTGACCAGAATTACTGTGCACGATTTACCTCCATACCGCTGATCCAGCAAACAGTGTAAACAGGCCTTCAGCGTTGCACAAGTCACACATCTTGTCACAAACGGTGTGAGTATGTGTGACACATTTAATAATGACAAATAGGATAAATATTATGTATTAAGCATTAAGTACAATTGTGCGTATTGTTGCATTGAGAATATTTTTCATTTTCATCTTATAATTAATCTATCAGTTACTCGTCTTTTCAATTCGGTATTGTTGTACGGTATAAACTAGATAGGCGTGTGCGTGTGCGCGCGTGTATGATAGTGTGCAACGCCATTCTAGTGAGTGAGTGAGTTTAATTTAACTCAGCAATATTCCAGCTATATGGCGGCGGTCTGTAAATAATCGAGTCTGGACCAGACAATCCAGTGATCAACAGCATGGGCATCGATCTGCGCAATTGGGAACCGATGACATGTGTCAACCAAGTCAGCGAGTCTGACCACCGGAGCTTAGTCGCCTCTTACGACAAGCCTAACCCGGACCTTCACGGGTCACGCCATTCTAGTACCCTTGTATGCTTGTATGTATGTGTGCTAAATTCCCCTGCTAAATAGCATGATGATAGATGAAACAAACGTACGAGAAATGGTTATTCGTTGGGTCATGGTACGGGTGTCAACGTATTTACAGTGTTTCCTTGACTTGTTCAATCCGGGAACAATTCCCCCCGACTTTATTCCCGCTTGTATGCACGTATGTTTACGTGTGTATGTAGGCGTGTGTATCTGTATAAACAACGGGGAGAGTTCCATGGATATACAACTTCTATATTATAAATATGACGGTTGGTGTAAACATCGTTATCTATCAAGTTAGTAGCTACACCGAAACGTTGCTCGTATTAATAATAAAGAAGTTGTATATGCACAGATCTCTCCGCGTTCATCTCACCAACTTCTAAATGACACTCAAAGAAGTTATGTATGTATCCCAGTATAACACAAGTGCTTTGTGATGTAATTCACTCGGAACCATTTTTTCTATCCACAGAAAATGGGTCTCGGTGAAGGTCAAGGTGACGGTCAAGGTGACGGTCAAGGTCGCGGAGGAGCTGGAATCATCTGGGCAATACTGTGGTTTCTCGTCCTGATATTCCTAGGCTGGCCAATCGGCTTCTTCATCGCCTGGCTCTACGTGCTTCTCCTCCCGTTCGGCGCGTGCATCAGCCCCATCAAGGACGCCTGTGACGCCATACTACGTCTCGTGCAACTTCCCCTCACCTGCGCCGAGAACATGATCAACATGAAACCCATGTGTTCCTAGATCAACATCAGCAACATCGTCAGCATCATCAACTTCGTCTTCCAGATAAACATCGCCCTGTGTATTATGTGCCTCTCAACATCTTTAGTGTTTTCCCAGGGAAAGGATTTTACAGCCGACGCCAAATGTTCCTTGGGGGGACATGTTTAATCATATCTAATCTCCCATGAGAACATCTGTATATTTGCCTTGTCTTATTCACGTGTTGATATATTTAAAAGAAACGTATTTATTCCAGTAAGGTTAAACTTTCGTAAAGGGTCACAGATCAATCCTCCTGGTCGAGGTGATTCCAAAGTGCCATCAGCTGTTGGTAGCGATGCGTCGTTGAACGTCTAAGGTACTATACTATAAGCCCTGTATTATAATAATGTGAGATCGAAAAGATCACGATTTGTGCAACTCATTGCTGCATGTCAGTCCAGTTTGAGGACAGCCTGGACTAACGCGTAGTCTCTAAATATATACAATTTTGATTGTAACAAATATAGTCCCAAATGAATTGAAAGGGAGTTCCAGGGAGACCAGAGATTCAGAACCTGGAGAAAAATAGACTTGCTTCATTTAGGGCTTTAGCACTGCAGAGAGGGCTAGGCTGTAGGGAAATTAATATGGTTCAGGGACTGTGAGACAGACTAAGGGCAGCCTTGCTACTCTACGTGTATTACCTATTAATGCCTTATTTTGAAAAATATTTTGATCTCAATGATATTTCCACCAGACATGTTCCCGTTACCTCCAGATGTAAAGTGCCTGGCAAAAGAAAGTATCCACTTGGAAAAATGATTTCACCAAAACAATACAAAACTTATCAAAACGTTACTGGAAAACGTCGAAAGGACTGCACACTTATGTTCCTGATCACAACTGAAGACCGTATCAAATATACCATGTGACAGTCGAGTAATCGTTTCCCGTCTGTATCAGTTTAACCATTATCGAAACAGGGGCGGTGGGGTACCCTATTGAGTAAAGCGTTGGCTCGTCACGCCGAAGACCCGGGTTCGATTCCCCACATGGGTACAATGTGTGAAGCCCACTTCTGGTGTCCCCAGCCGTGATGTTGCTGGAATATTGCTAAAAGCGGCGTAAAACCAAACTCACTCTCTATCACTATCATTATCATTATCGAAACAGTGTGCTTTCTTTTGCTGATGAGTATATTGCTCACCTGTTGTCGGAACAGCCTCGGTTTATCGGTAACTATATTTCTTTAAGCGGATATACAGGCATATGATGCGTAAGGCATTCAATGGTCAGTAACTGATGTATCACCCTCTGGTGTCCAGTTCGTTAGATAACCGTTCCATGGTGCTAAACGACTCCATTGGTTTCCATGTCTTCCATTTAAGATATGCCACCCATTACCCATCAGATACGTCCCACACAAATTCTCTCGCACACCAGTGTGTTTTGAGCTGAATCAACATTATGACAGTTGATGTATCCTAATAAATAATGACGATAGATTGTAGACAAAACCTTCGTCAAACGAGGTGCTGATGTCGAAGAGCAGTTGGATGAGAATTGTATGATCTAAGCGACTTTTTTCCCTGACCAATCTGCCACCATGGTCTTTCATTCACAGCTTGACTAAGTGTGTTTCTTGCATTATGTTAGAGCACAGAATCCCTTATGGGGAACCCAGTTTAGAACAGTTTCCCAGCTTCCTTGCTGGTCGTACGTTGCGACCAAAAGGACTGGGTAGCCTTGGTCGATGACTCGGTTTGTAGCGTGCGCGCGCACTTTGTAACGTGCGCTCATAATATTGATCACGGGATTGTCAATGACAGACCGCTGTGATATACTTACAATTTTGCCGAGTGCAGCGTTCGCCAGCGAACTCGCTGAACGCTGAGTCAACGTGCCAAGCTGTTCTAGTGCAATGTGATACGACTGGGTAAAGGTATGTTATCATGCTATCCAAGGACAAAGCGAAATAGGATGCAGGATCTCCCCAGCTGCAGTTAAACACAATAGTTGCAGGAGTAACGATTGATTACTATAGGTGTCGGGATAGGGGAAAGGTGGTTTATGTGGGCGATGCCTTTTTTAAAAATATGTATAAACGTAGAAATACTCTGGTGAGGGTATAAGGACGAAGTTGTTTATAAGTGGATGAAAATACTCGGGATTGCCAGAAAAAACACCCTGGATGATCTGGGGGTATATCGAAGTGGGTTGAAACATTATGTGCCTCACCGATGTTCTGAAGATTTGTTTAAACTTTCAGTCCCAATTATAGTCTTAACAACCATCTATTAATATTAAGTGGTCAGCCCTAAATGGTCAGTGTGATTGTGTTGAAGGTGTCTGACCACTTACCCTCCTGTGTGTATCCCCGTCAACGTAGACGGTGCTACCTGCATCATTCTCTACTGCCATTATGTATCATACAGCCGTTAACATATACCCCATTCTAATCATACATAAGAAATGGTTAATATATTCAACGTAAAATACATTACAGATATGGTTTTGTATTTCTCAAAATATAAACTATTGTATACGTTATGTTATTATTCTTGTATACGGTAATAAATAAATATTTCCTTAGATTTTTTTCTTGTCAATGGTTAAAAGGTCTTCAGCTGATTTGACTAGAGCTTGAAAATTTGTAATTCAAGTTTCTACTAAAAAAACACCTGACTCAGCTAACGGAGCATGGACCAATTTAACATGTGATCGATAATGTGAATCACGTTTCGTATATACAAGCTGTTGTGATCAATACACCACCGTGTGTATTTGAGTACACAGACTTGATCTAACTTGTGCAACACTACTTTCAGACATAACAATGTTCAATGGCTGGTCAGATTTGTCGGGATGTCAATCTTGTCTATTTGGCATAACGTGCCATTAACGCTGTTGGGCGAGTTAGTGAGTGAGTTCATTGGTATGCTTATATTTAAGTTATTTAAATCTCTATCTGACCTGGTTTTTCACTTTCAAATCTATTGAATTTGGCATGACCTGTCATTGACTCTGTATGATGAGTGAGTGAGCCCTTCCCAGTTTATATCACAGCCAGTCAGCTTCATTGGTGAGGTGAGGTGAGGTGAGGTGAGGTGAGGTGAAATAGCGTTTAACGTCGGACTTCAGAATATTTCGCTCATATGACGACCTGCATGCATGTGTATGTGTGGCTGCTTGTACTAGACCAGACTTAAGTAGGTTTTATAGTGGTAGCTCACCGAGATACCATGCCGCAGTGAAGCATGAATACCCCACTCAGACACATTATACTGACTCCGAGCCGACCAGTCCTCGTTGTTCCCTGTAATGCCGAGCGTCAGGCAGGGACCAACAAGTACCATATTTTAACGTATTAACGACAAGTACCATATTTTAGCGTATTTTGGTATGACGCGGCCGGGGATGGAACCCGCGACCTTCCGCTCTCCGGGCGGACGCTCTAACCACTAACCACTACAACACGGAGGCGGTGCAGATTCATAGTAGCAAAGCCCAAGTGACATGGGTCTTGGGAGAAGACCAAGAGCACGGGTATTACAAACTAAGACACACAATCGGGGATTCGAACCCATGATCACAGGTTTCTGGCGTGTCAAAGGGACGCAACTCTGTGATGTGAATTACCGTGCCTTAGACGACTGGCTTCCGTGCCCACCCATGGCGATAAAAGTGTCATGTTGGCGAGCAATACAAACGTTATTCAGTTAGGCTCGTCTCAGTTGTCTCCCTTTATGTCTTATTCCAGTCTAGTCATAAGATATTCCCTGAGAAAACTAAAAGAGTTAAGTCTGCTCAGGGGACCATGGTCTGAAACGGGGTAAACGGCAGGTTTTCAGGGTCGGGTGGCACAGAAGGCTTTTATCATTGCCAGCACTTCAATGGTTTGTTCCATGTCTTAACTGGGTAAAGTGCAGTTGTCTCCCTTCGACAGCGCGGCTGCTTATGTCGTAGTGCGTTCACTCTCATTGAATACGCTATTGATCACACAGCTCATCGCAATCAGAGTTCGTGCCATGGATGGCACTTCAAGGGAGAGAACCCTCACATAGCTTTAAACCATGACGGTTCCTTAAACCATGACGGTCCAGACTATAGGCGTTTAAATGGCGTCCCTATGCATATGCTGACAAGTAACAATTTCGTTACTTTACAATTAGCACATTTACCATTTTGGAGCCCGCTCTAGGATTTTATGGCTGATATGTTGACGGGAGTAATAATATGTCGTCCACTGTCAACAGTGTGTCAAGTCTGATGTTCTGTTCTCATCACTCTCAAGTTATTCAAATGTCATTAATATGCGACTTTTAAAAATTATTTTTACATTTATTCGTCATATTGCTCTTACATATGAATTGAAAAAAAGTACTTGATTTAGTGCCGGGTCAATGTAAAATATACTCTTGCTGGCTAAAAACGAAATAGGAATGATGTGGTAATTCCAGAGAGTGATAGACGGGTGTGCTGTTGACCTGATTTTTCAGTGTTTTGATGACTGTTTTCAGCTTATTTACTTTCCAGAGTTTTGGTCAAATCCGATTTCCAAGTGCAATCTTTCGATTTTTCGGTTTAATTTTTCCAAAACCAGTGCCACTTATAGTACACTTTGGGCTCCTGCCACTATTGTCAGATGACATAGATAACACAGGAAAACTGAGGCGAAAAGATATTTTGATTTGTGGTATGTATCCTTTACCTGGTGAGGACAAAACAGAAACACAACTCTAAGATTCGGTTCCAGCACAGTTTATTCCCGACGCAATCCCGTCCAGTAACGTAAACTTCGGACAGAAACGTAGATGCAGCTATAGGTGTCGCATTCGTTGTCGGGCGGCTGTGTGGAGTTCAGAGTATCAGATGTCTACACTCATACAGCACGCATACACTGAAACAGAAACATGAAGAATGGTACTTCAGAATGTCTTTGACTTGGATTGCTTGAAAAAGAACCAGTAAGATGATACAGCTGTGGTTGAATCCCATCCGGGAGGCGAACCCACATTCTCAGTGTCAAGCACTTGATCGCCAGCACACAAAGTTAGCGATCTAACCCACTCAGCCATCGCAACTTCCGCAAACATGGCATGGAGATCACGTACTCTGTATAACCCCCTGACGAGTGGAAGTGGGCACCTAAAGCTATGACTACACAAATATAAGTGCGTCACACAGGGATCAATCTCACTGTCATAATGAGACATTTGTAGTTAAATTAACATTATTAACATTATCAGCGTCAGTTACGGGTGATATACCGACGGAGATAAATAACGGGATACAAGTGCTTCTTTTACTATTGCAGCTTTCTACCCACAACAGAGCGCAGAGTAAGCGAATGTACATGGAAAAGAATATATTAACACTTGTTTTCATGTCTACTTTTCTTCGTTTCCAATAGTACACGTATATGTATTATTAGTCACGATATTGCTGAAATATTGCCGATGTGACGTTAAAAATTAACTCACTCGCTCACTCACCATATATTATTTAACAAAACGACACAAATTGTCACCATCGTGGAGCAATTCCAAGAGGGAGTTGAGATTTTACGTCGCTTGAGAAAGTTATGTCGGTATATAAAAATTACGGATATATTTTCACGTTTTGTTCCGCTTATATGATCTTATCACAAAAATGATCAACACCTGGGAAGAATGCAAAGGTCTGAAAAGTTTTCAGCTGCACAACATAAACACACCATGTGTCCTGTGACGTCATTATCTCCTCGAAATGTGTATTCATGCTTATAGAAGTGTCGGGTCAGGTGGACAGACAGACAGACAGACAGACAGACAGACGGGCGGACGGACGGGCGGACGGACATGGACAACAACCATTCCCTATCCCGAACTGCGACGGAGAATAACGCGTGTGAATTCTGTCACCTGTTTTCGTTATGTTATGTTATGTTTTCGAAACTACACAGCAACTGCAGCGTTACGCTAACAACCGCCCCTCCTGTCGATCAATATTACCTAGGTCAGTGGGAGTTATTTCAGTATATAGGCCACAGACCCATTAACAGTATATACATATAGTACTGAGAAATAAAAATACAGTTTAATAACACAAGAGTTAAACGTTGAACTTGTTATTATTATTATAATATCTGTAATTGTAGGGTAAAGTCGTTGTATTTAAGGAATGGAGTTGGATAGGAAGGGCATGTTTTACAGTAATATATTATCAACGATATTCGTCCCAGAACATCCTAGGTTGGACATGGAAGTACATAGTGGATCTATCTTCCGCAATATGGTTTCACAACAGAAAATTCCTTCAATTACTATCAACAGCCTCCTCTAAATGCGTGTCATGAGTTATAATTCTCCAAGTCCTAATGATAGCAGATATCATTGTGGATCCTTCGGATTTTGAATCAATTCAATTTTACCAAAGAAAAGGATAGTCTCTCAAAGTTTGTCAAAATCATCAGCATGTCCAAATGTAAGTATTTGAAGAAACACACGGTAGTCGTGTATGGTTTTCGATAAGATGACTTGACAACGTTTGGTGCTTGACCACGTGGCCAGGCGTCAGGTCACTGGTCAGTCTAAATCTGAGAAGATTGTTATATTTTATCTTGTTTCAAATCAAATATGTCCTCCCGGCGGCCATGCTTAAAACCCAGCGTAGAGTGTCATCTCGTTTCTAATCCACCGAAGGAAATGTGCTGACTTAAGAACCTAGGCGTACTGTTTCGAGGACAAAATATTATCATTGGTGAACTTAATCGAGATTCCCCAGTGAAACAGAAGTGCAGTTTGAGACTAGACAACTAAGGGTACACATATAGTCGACTGTGTAAGTTGACAACAGCACTAACACTTCCTAATTCCCTTCAGAACATGAACACATCGCTTTAATTAAATGTGACGATATATCCACTTTCTTCTTTGTCTATGGTTTGGCGGCCATGATACGATTCCATCGTAAAGGATGATCTGGTTCCTAACCCAGCACATCTTCGATAATCTCCAGGGAATACGTTACGATCACTCTCCACTATACCCTGGATGCATCCACGGCTTGGCCCGATTATTTTATTACCTCCCTTGGCTAATTTGTTATCCAATCAGGTGTCTACGCTGGGAACTCACTTTCGCTTCTTAAATTATCTAACCGTTTAAACTTGGCAACACAAATGATACAGAGGGTACTCTGAAAGATGTGGAAGGAGTTCTTTTATATATTTTTTGAAAGTTTCCTGATCTGTCAATTGGTCTGTTTTATTTCTCAAAAATCTGAGTGGTACTGCGAACAAACCTTTGCAGCTGCGACCGCTATCTTTGTTGACACTGGCAAGCTCGGATGTAACGGTGGCTTAATTAGCTGATTGGCTTCTGTGAGAATGCGGAGCCAGCAAAGGGAGGTAATATAATTATCGGGCCAAGCCGTGGATGCATCCAGGGTATAGTGGAGAGTGATCGTAACGTATACCCTGGAGATTATCGAGGATGAACCCACCAGAGGACAAAGTCTAACATAAGACGCATGGTGTACGGTCATGAATCTGAACTTAACGTTTTATCTGTAACTTAACATGTGACCAGACGTCTATATCTTCTTTATCGAT